GACACAGAAATAAAAAGAACCAAAACAGAAAAGGAAAGAGAAGTACGAAGGAAAAAGAACGAAGAAAGACTTCGGGAACTATCTGACTCCATGAGGAAAGGAAATATAAGAGTTATAGGAATACCAGAAGGAGAGGAGAGAGATGTAGGAACAGAGAAAATATTCAAAGAGATAATTGAAGAGAACTTCCCAAATGTGAAGAAGGAGCTGAAAATTGATATACAAGAAGCAAGAAGAACACCAAACTTCCACGACGAAAGGAAAAATACAGCAAGACACATAATAGTAAAGCTCCCAAGAATCCAGGACAAGGAAAAAATAATGAAGCTGGCAAGAGGGAAGAAACAGATAACATTCAAAGGAAAGCCAATCAGGCTGACATCAGACTTCTCCGAAGAAACACTACGGGCAAGGAGAGAGTGGAGGGACATAGTCAACAGACTCCAAGAAAACAGATGCCAACCAAGAATACTCTATCCCGCAAAGCTCTCCTTACTCTTTGAAGAAAGAATATGGACCTTCCCAGACAAACAGAAACTCCGGAATTTCATTGCAACTAAACCCCCACTCCAAAAAATACTACAAGGAGTCCTAAAGCCAGAACCTCAGAGGGACGAATAACAATGAAAGAAGGCCAAAAAAAAAAAAAAAGTTATTAAAAGAATAAATAAATAAAATCAAAGGAAAGACAAACACAATGGCAAATACAGATGTTAACATATCAATATTAACTCTAAATGTAAATGGACTAAACTCTTCAATAAAAAGACACAGAGTGGCAGCCTGGATTAAGAAACAAAACCCAACCTTTTGCTGTCTCCAGGAAACACATTTAGCTACAAAAGATAAAAATAGGCTCAAAGTTAAAGGATGGAAAACAATCCTACAAGCAAATGGACCAAAAAAGAAAGCAGGAACAGCTATACTTATATCAGATAAAACAGATTTCAAACTCAAAAAGATAAAAAGAGACCCCAATGGTCACTACATTATGATCAAGGGGACAATACTTCAAGAAGAAATAACACTCATTAACATATACTCACCAAACGAAGGAGCACCAAAATATATCAGACAACTGTTGTCCTCTCTGAAAACAGACATCAGAGAAAACACATACGTAGTGGGAGACTTCAACACACCACTATCAACAATGGATAGATCAACAAGACAAAAAATAAGTAAAGAAACCAAAGCTCTAAATAAGGACCTAGAGCAATTAGGCTTAACAGACATCTATAGAACACTAAACCCCAAAAAAACGGAGTACACATTTTTCTCAAGCGCACACGGATCATTCTCCAGGATCGATCACATACTGGGGCACAAGACAAACATCAACAGATACACCAAGATTGAAATCATATCAACCATCTTTTCTGACCATGAAGGCATCAAACTAGAAATAAACCATAAAAAGAAGGCGAGGAACTTTCCTACCTCATGGAGATTAAAAACCACACTACTGGAAGACCATTGGACTAATGAGGAGATCAAAGAAGAAATTAAAAAATTTTTTGAATTGAACGACAAGGAGGACACTAATATCCTAAATGTATGGGATGCAGCAAAAGCAGTAATAAGAGGAAAATATATAGCAATAGAAGCTCACATCAAGAAACAAGAAAGAACGCAAAGAAACAACCTCATCTCGAAGCTCAAAGATCTAGAAAAAGAACAACAAAAAAACCCCAAAACCAGTAGAAGAAAAGAAATAATAAAAACCAAAGCAGAAATAAATGAAATTGAAACTAAAAAAACAATCCAAAAGATCAATGAAACCAAGAGCTGGTTTTTTGAAAAAATCAATAAAATAGACAAACCCCTAGCCAGGCTCACAAAGGAAAAAAGGGAGAAAGCACAAATAAACAGGATCATCAATGAAAGAGGAGAAATCACAACGGACACAGCAGAAATCAAAAGAATAATCAGTAACTACTATGAACAGTTATATGGAAACAAGTTTAACAATCTAGAGGAGATGGACAAATTCCTACAACTCTACAATCACCCAAAGCTAGATAAAGAAGAAATAGAACACCTAAACAGACCAATTACAATTAGCGAAATTGAAATGGTAATAAAAAACCTCCCCAAAAACAAAAGCCCAGGACCTGATGGATTTACAAATGAATTCTACCAAACATTCAGAGACAAATTAGTGCCTATCCTTCACAAACTCTTCCAAAAAATTGAGAAGGAAGGGACAATACCAAACACGTTTTATGAAGCCAACATTACACTAATACCAAAACCGAACAAGGACAACACAAAAAAGGAAAACTACAGGCCAATCTCCCTAATGAACACTGATGCAAAAATCCTCAATAAAATTTTAGCTATCAGAATCCAACAATGTATCCATAAGATAATTCACCACGACCAAGTTGGATTCATTCCAGGGGCACAAGGATGGTTTAACATCCGAAAATCAATCAACGTTATCCAACACATCAACAAAAAGAAATATAAAAACCATATGATAATATCAATAGATGCTGAGAAAGCTTTCGACAAAGTGCAACACCCATTCATGATAAAAGCCCTTGAAATTCTGGGGATACAAGGAACATACCTCAACATCATAAAGGCCATCTATGACAAGCCAACAGCCAGTATCATTCTCAATGGTGAAAAGCTGAAAGCAATTCCATTAAGATCTGGAACAAGACAAGGATGTCCACTCTCACCATTGCTTTTCAATATAATACTGGAAGTCCTAGCCAGGGCAATAAGACAAGAGAAAGACATCCAAGGAATCCAAATAGGAAAAGAAGAAGTCAAACTATCACTATTTGCAGACGATATGATATTATACATAGAGAACCCCAAAAACTCCACAGAAAAGCTAATTCAACTCATCAATCAGTTCAGTAAAGTGGCAGGATACAAAATCAACACGCAAAAGTCAGTAGCCTTCCTATACACAAACAATAAATCTGAAGAAGAAGAAATCAAAAAGACCATCCCTTTTGTTATTGAAACAAAAAAAATCAAATATTTGGGAATAAATCTAACAAAAGAGGTAAAGGACCTATACAAAGAAAACTATAAAACACTGTTAAAAGAAATAGAAGAAGACACAAAGAAATGGAGAGACATCCCCTGCTCATGGATTGGAAGAATAAACATTATTAAAATGGCCATCCTACCAAAGCAATATACAGATTCAATGCTATTCCAATCAAAATTTCAATGTCATTCTTCAAAGAAATAGAACAATTATTGATGAAATTCATATGGAATCACCAAAAACCCCGAATAGCCAAAGCTCTCCTGAAAAAAAAAGAAGGGAATGGAGGCATCAGACTCCCAGACTTCAAACTATACTACAAAGCCATAATCATCAAAACTGCATGGTATTGGAACAAGAACAGACATACAGACCAATGGAATCGAATAGAAAATCCAGAAATAAACCCACAGATTTATGGTCAACTAATCTTTGACAAAGGAGCAAAGAATATGCATTGGAGCAAAGAAAGTTTGTTCAATAAATGGTGCTGGGAAAACTGGGTCGCTACATGCAAAAGAATGAAGCTTGACCACCACCTCACACCATACACAAAAATCAACTCAAAATGGATTAAAGAACTAGACATAAGACCTGAAACCATAAAATATATAGAAGGAAATATAGGCGAAACACTACGTGATTTGCACATCAAAGACATCTTTACAGACACATCACCCAAAGCAGTGATAGTGAAGGCAAAGATAAACAGCTGGGACTACATCAAATTAAAGAGCTTTTGCACAGCAAAAGAGACAATAACAAAAACAAAGAGAAACCCCACCAACTGGGAGAACATTTTTGCACCCAACACTAATGATAAAGGACTGATCACAAAAATATGCAAAGAGCTGATGAGACTCAACAACAACAAAGAAAATAATCCAGTCAAAAAATGGGCAGAAGAGCTTAAAAGAAACTTCTCTGAAGAGGAAATGCAAATGGCCAACAGGCATATGAAAAAATGTTCAACATCACTTGTCATCAGGGAAATGCAAATCAAAACTACCATGAGATACCATCTTACACCAGTGAGAATGGCACATATTAAAAAAACTAGCAACAACAAATGTTGGCGAGGGTGTGGAGAAAAAGGAACTCTTCTGCACTGTTGGTGGGAGTGCAAACTGGTCCAACCACTGTGGAAAGCTGTATGGAGATTTCTGGACCTACTAAACATAGAGCTTCCATATGATCCAGCAATTCCACTCCTAGGTATTTACCCAAAGGACACAGAAACATCAATTCCAAAGAACACCTGCACCCCTATGTTTATAGCAGCACTGTTTACAATAGCTAAGCTTTGGAAACAACCCAAATGCCCAAAAATAGATGACTGGATCAAGAAGATGTGGTACATATATACCATGGAATATTACTCAGCATTCAAAAAAGATAAACACATGCAATTTGCAGCAACATGGATGGCGCTGGAAGGGATCATGCTCAGCGAAATAAGCCAAAAAGAAAAAGAAAAATACCGGATGGCCTCACTCATAGCAGGAATCTAGAAAACTTAAATAAGGGACCAGGAAAATGAATAACTATAAGAAAGTGAAAATCAAAATCAACAAAAAACTATGAACCAGAGACACTTTTAGGGGGGTGGGAGGGGAGGGATTGGGGTCAGAATGGGGGGGCTGCAATTGTATGGGGAATATAACAATAAAATTTATTAAAAAAAAAAAAAAGAAAAGAAAAGTGACACAGTGGGAGGTGCAGGTAGCACCTGCATTTCTGCATTCCACCTGTGTGGAATCTCAGGCCTGTATTTCTAATGATGTGACTCTACACTGGTCACAATCTCTCTCTAAAGCCCAAATTCCCTCATCCTTGAAAAGAGAGTAATAATACCTGTCCAAAGTCATAATGGCTAAGGTTATATGGAGCATCATGTACACAGGGCCTGAAGTGGGGCTGGCCTCCCCAACTGCCCTCCAAAACTGTGGGTAGCAGAATCGAGTTGAGCACATAAGGAAAGACTCACCTTTTTTGCACATCCAGCCATGGAGAAGTTGCCTTCTCTTGCTCTTTGTGGCAAGAGCCCAACCAGCGTGGGGGACCATTACAAGCCTTGGGGTATTAGTGTGGAGCCACTTCACACCAACTTGCAAGAGCCAGTTGCTGCCTCTCTTCCCAACTCCAAACTCAGTGGCATCAAGAATAACCTGGAATTGACCACAGTGGAAATATTTTCACCATGGCAATGGGCAAATGCTATTGACCTGGGCTGCTTTTTTCCCTTTAGGAACCAGACATTAAACCTTTACCAGTGCACATCTGGCAGGAGAAAAGGAAAATAAGGCTAGAGGTGCAAGATGAGCAGGTGGGCTTCTGTGTCCTTTAGCCCACATCCATGTAAGGTGTTTCATTTTTATTTTGTTCATTTGTCTGTTTTAATCTGGAAGAGTCCTGGCTTTCTGTGCTGATTCTCTGCACCTTCCTTCCATTGCTGAGCAGTTTGGAGACTCGGGGTTTTGGGGTGGGAGCAGGGGGATGAGGGTTCAATGCCATTTTACTAAAAACACTTACCAACGAAAGTCTAGTTTTAACATAGAAGCTTAAGATTTCCCCCCAGCTTTTATTCAGCAGCAACGGATTAAATCACTGACTTGATTTTACTACACTGGGGTTCTACTGAGGAAGGCCAAGTTCCTAAATCATGGGCCTGACAGGAGCCATATTTCTGAGCCCAGAGCCAAGCTGTGACCTTCTAGTTTCACAGTAACTGGAACTGGGTGACATACATAATAAAGGGAGTACATAGAGCATTTTTAAAATATGAAATGATACCGAAATCACATCGAGGTGTCAGTCTGAAACCAGTTCCCAGAACCAAGGTAATCAATCTTTTCTCCTGTCTTGTGAAGCTGATGTGAAAAGCACAATGACTTTCACTTGGCGGAGGATTTCGAAATATCTAGACTTGAGCACATTCCTTAGGCCCACGATCAGCCTCCACCTACAGTTTCATCTGCGCAACCACCCAGTAAGATTTTAGCATCTCCAGTTTATACATAGGGAAGAAAAACCTTCCTTTGTGGTACCCTTCCAGTGACCCACAGATCTCATGCACTGGCCCAGATTAGACTGTGGCCCGTCTGACCAGCCTCTGCTCTACCCACTTCCCCCAAGTCACTTCCCAGGTGGAGGCTCCTCCCTGACTCACCAGCTCACCCTGGTCTGCTATGCCTCAAATGTTTCTCCACTGTATCTCCCCTTGATGGTCCCCTTTCCATTTAGGTCTCAACTGCCATCTCCTCTGAGAGCTTTTCTGGGTCCTGCTCACTAAAGAAGCCCTCAGCCCTCACCAGACACTAGTCACACCCTAAACTACTAGCCAACATGATACCTTTCAGCGCATGTGTCATATTCCAAAGTTAGAGTGTTGTCTGTTCACATGTTTGCTTCTGTTCTCTTTCCTTCTTCTGTCATCTGCGCTATATACAAGAGTGTCCACTGCATAGTAGCCATAGAGTGAGTAGTGAAAAAAATGGGAGGATGGATGGATGGATTTGAACCCATGAATGCGTGGAAGGAAGAATACATGGATTAAGATGAATGTGTGGCTATGGATATGTGGATGGATAAATGGATGCATGGATAGATCAAAGGAAGTATACATGGATAAATGCCTAGACACATAGGCAGAGGGAGGGAGGGAGAAGCGGGTAGGCGGTTGGATGGGTGGATGGAATTGAACAAGCACAAATTGGCCTTGAAGACTCCTTCCTAGTTCAAGCCTCCTAGGATTACATTGGAGCTCTTCTCCCATAGTTTGGGAAGCACTCATTCAATTGTCTCCACTAACATTTGGGAAGAAGATTGTAAATCCACGTTGTCCCTGTCTCTCCACCACTCCGGGCCAGTGTGGTGCCTCCCTTAGACAAAGTGGGGGCTCAGTGCCCCATCCTGGCCTGATTGACCCCCCCATCCCACTTGCTCACAGGTGGGTACTTGTCCAACATCACCACCTTTCAAACAGGACTGCAAAGTCTCTGTGGAGATAACAGTGGAACTGTCTGCTCACACACAGTCTGGTTGGCAACTGGGTATTAAATCCAAACCAAGAAGTCGACCTATGCTGTAGGAAAGCACAGGCCCAGCACCATCAGGAAATTAAATGACAACAAAGAAATGGGCCAAACAGTCAAGTTTGGGAGCAGCTCTAACGACTAATTTCTAATGAGAGTTTCAAAACACTAATTTTCCAGAGCAGAAAATCAAGTTGTGCTCATTTATAACCCGTCATTGGCAATGAGTCAGCGGATATTTCTTCCTGTGTTGTCAGTTAACTTTCTGAGCCCGTCAGAATACAAAGTAGAACGGTCGGGCCATAAATCAGTTCTTTGGGAGCTGATAAATGGTTATTGTACAAATACTGCATTTGCATTGGATCTGGAGACATCAATCTACTTCTCGTGATCTTACTTTAAAAAAATTATCCCCCTGAAGTCAGAGTGAGCAATTTATATAGGCATTCTTTCCTGGCTGTTTATTTTTCTCACCTTTAATGACTGCCTTTTCACCATCTGCACTTACACTATGTTGTAAAATGTCACAAAGCATGTAGAAAAAACTACCAGGACTTCAGTTGGGGAAAATCTCCCCAGAAATCATTTCATAACCTTTTTGCACATCCTTGAATAATGATCACTTTGGTAAAGACTGTCATAATTTATTAGAATAAGAAGGAACCTGAGACACCATCATTTGGCATGCCCTTCATTTTACAGATGGGGAAACTGAGGCCCAAGCATGAAAATAACATAACGAGCCAAGTTTGTGACAGGATCAGGGCTTCCCTTTGGGTTCACGAGAAATGAGGATCCTCGATCTCATGAAGAAACAGCTAGAATCTTCACGGATACGAATAAGTGAAAGATTCAATCAAAGGCAATGGGGGGATTGATAGAAAGGTGATTGCTCCTCATTCATTCCTTCTTCATTCATTTATTCATTCCTAACTCATTCATTTTTCATTAATTGACTCATGGTTTTTATCCTTGACCCATCTGCTGCCGTCATTACAACGATGACTATGCTGTCGATGACACTCAGATTATCTCTTTGGCTCAGCCTATTTCATTCAAGCAAAAGTGAAAGGACACCAAAGTAGTTCTGTCATGTTTGGCCCTCTGTAGTTCAATAGTAGAATACTTTGAAAGCCATCATGGAAGGGCATTTGGTTTTAGGGTTTTTTTTTTCCCCTTAATTACCCTGGAATCCATGGGGAACTCACATCCTGAAAGGTGTTTTTATTCTAACAGTTTTATTGAGACATAATCTGCACGCCATAGAATCCACCCATTTAAAACATATACTTCAGTGATTTTTAGTCTATTCACAGAGTTGTGCAACCGTCACCCCAAACATTATCACCACACCACAGAGAAACCGCATCCCCCTTAGCATCACCTCTGTCCCCTCTCCCCACTGCCAGAGGCAGCCACTCCTCCGTGATCTGGACTTATGGACACAGTCATACCACGTGTCGTTTCCACAAAGACTCACAGTCCCACCACAGAAAGACACGAATGTGGAAACATAGCCTCTTACCATCTCAAAAAAAGACACATTCATCATTCTATTTTCCTCTCAACTTTAAAATGTTCAAATGTACAGAAATATTGGAAGACCTACAGTGAACACCCACCCATTCACTCCTCACCTAGATTCTATCATGAACATTTCATGCGACCAGCCTTATCACAAAACCACCCATCTGTACCCTGGACCACCATATTCATGGGGGTGCTCAGGGAGCAACTTCCAACCTACTCAGATGCAGAAGGAAAGACTACAGGCATACTGGCTGCTCTATTTATTCAGCAACTACCTGCTACACTTCCACTGTGAGCAGGCCCTGCCTGGGCCCCGAGCACAGCAGTGAAGGAGACCTGGGCCTCTGATGGAACTTACATTCCAGCGGGGAGAGGGGCGGTGAATAAGCAGTGCACACACAGCCCACAGTCGGGGGCTGATGGAGTCCAACCTATTCCCACAGGAAAATAGACAGCATGGCGGGACAGAGATTCGCCAGGAGACACGGTGCTAGGTGGTCTGGTTGGCAGGCAGGTGCCACTTGAACTGAGGTCTGAAGGGCAATGATGAAGCAGCCAGGCAAGGGGTGGGGGTAGAATCGCCCACAGAAACCAATGTCAGCTACAACAAAGACTGGGAGGACGATGGACCTGCAGGGTTTCATGTATGGAGAGCAGGATGAGTTGGTGATGGGGAGGGAAGCAAGCAGAAATAGCTAGAGGCTTGGATATGCAGGCTGTGTCTTGTCTCTATGGCAACAGATCTGTGCCCTACACACCTGACCACAGCAAGGCACCAGCACACCTGCCTCCCAGGTGGACAGGGCATATATCTGTCCTCACAGAGCCCTGCAGATCCCCAGGGATGTCCACGCCTTGAAATTCTGTAGGTCTTCCTTCATTTACTACTTTTAATTTATTTTATTGAAGTCACACAGTGCTATATGTGTATGAGTTTTAGGTGTGTGTCATTGACAATCAGCATGTGCATCTGCTCATGAGCTTCATGAGCTAATTCCATCCTTCACCTTCTGGTTGTCTCCTTTGCCCGATTTATCCTCCACTCTCCCAGCTCCTCGTGGTTACTTCCTTCTGGTAACCATTAGTTGGTCTCATAGTCCAAACATTTCCTTTTGATTTATTTCATTAATACATATTTGTTTGCTCTGTATCCCACAAATGAGAGCATACGGTGTTTGCCTTTCTCTGCCTGACTTATTTCGCCAAGCATAACTCCCTCTTCTGCTTTTCACACATTAATGTTTTGTTCATTCACCCACCCACCAGTTCTGCTCACCCACTGTTGACTAAAGCCTGCAACGGACCAGACGTGTGAATAGGCACTGGACGTAGGGAGAGAAGAAAGCAACCCCACCCTGGCATTCACCACCTAGGATGCCAGGCCCAACAGCAGATGACAAGCACTTGGTGAAAAGTGAGCCCCAGAAAGGCAGGGCCTCCCACTTGTCTCTGCCACCTCCCCAGTCCCCAACAGAGAGTTGGATGCAGAGCAAGTATTCAAAACAGATGTACTGACTGAGTGTATGAAATCAGTACCCTGGGCTGTGAGTGTGGCCCTGGGTGCTGCCTGGGGGCAAACCGCCAGCCCTTCCCGCACAGCCACGGCAAAACCTCCCGTCTGGGGCCTGGCTGCCCTAGACCCTGACCCTGGCTAAGAACACTGGACATGTGCTCTGGGCTGAGTCACTCCACATGAAGCCCAGTCTCTTGGCTCCCACACACCCTGCAGCTCTCCCGGTAGCCCAGCCTCCAGAAGGTGAGGGTCTGCGATCTCTGAGCTTAGACTCCACTGGAGGGAGAAGGCCCAGTGCAGCTGTGATGAGAACCACCTCTGCTCGGCAGCTGGCCAGGGCATGTTCACTGACCTTCAAAGTATCATTCAGGGCTCAGCCATCTCTCTCACCGCGGTCCCCATGCCAGCCGGCCCCTTTATCGGCCTCTTCCGAGAAGCTCCCATACCTCTCTGTTCAGGTTGTTCTGAGCTGGGCTCAAAGACTCAGGTGCCAGAGCAAAGACCACCATATGTTGATTAATCATCCAATAGAAGTAAACGAGAAGAAACACAGTGGGAAGGGGGAGCGGGTGTGGTGGATTAACTTCCCCAGGCTCATCTTCCAAAGGCCGGTTTGCTCGCCCACTGAGTATGCTTCCTCATACTAGCCTCCCATGACACCACCACGCCACCAGCTCCGGTGGGCAACAGCTGAACTTGACCTATAAGCCATACAGCCCGAGACCTGGGCAGGGCAGCCCTGCCCTGGCCCATATGCTGCAGAGAGGCTTGCCCTTTCCAAGTTCTCAAATACCAAGACTCTTATTTCACCTCATCTGGCTTTTCAATCTTGTGATAAGTGCCAGTAGTAAAGTTTGGTAATCCACTGACCAAATGGGAATGATAAAGAGTAGCCTCAGCAGCCAGAGGCTGTGGGCCTGAGAGCACCCACAGGCATGCAGGGGAGGAAGTTAGAGAGACTGCTTTCATTTAGAGTTGACACCCCCAGTGGCTGTCAGGAGCTCAGGCCCCCATGCTGCACCCCATGCCGCCTCCTTGCTTGCAGCTGTTCCTTAACATGCCCTGGAAATCCTGTCTCCGAGCACCAGCTTCCACCTGCCCTGGCCCAGCAGAGGCGCGCCCAGGACTAGGGCAGGGCTCATGAGCATGGGAACAGGCAGGCCCATTGTGACTGAAACGCTCCACAAAGTTGAACCATGGGAGTGGCCCCACACCCCCTCCCTGTGCCTAGAATTTGAGGAGAGTCCCTGAGGAGCCAGTTGAAACTGTCCTGCCCAGGTCTCTCTCTGCACAGCTCCTCTTGTCCGCATCACTGGTTGTGGCATTTCTCTACCCCGGGGAAGTTCTTTCTGTTGTTGAGTCTGCTTTCTTGGGTTCTGGGTCCCTGAAAGAAGGAGACAGCGCGGCTCCCAGGCTTGAGTCCAGCCCCGAGCAGTGATAGGCTGTGGCTGTCTCACGGAATGAGTGTTCTAGAATTCACTGGTCCTTCCCTCTCTGTTGTGTCAAAAGATTTGGAATCGTCCTTTCCTTTACACTCAGAGCCACAGCTGCTTGAGCTATTTTAAAACACTGCATTTCCTTCAGATGGGAATTCTATAACTTTCGAGTTGCTTTTAAGTAAAGTGGTTGATTTGAATCACCCAGGCAGGTATTTCATACAGCATGGGGGCCCGTTGGGCTGAAATTAAGTGGAGAGCTAAGCACACACCTGCTGTTTCCTTTCTTCCCCGTGGTTTTCAGGGTTGTTGCTCCCTTCAGGAGGAATGTAAAATTACTCTGTATTTCCCCCCAGGCTCTGTCTTTTCTCTCCTTAAGGACTCCTCTTTGAAAATGACTTGCACTTGGCCTTTTGTGGGTCAGGAAAAAAATAAAATAAAAAGAGCTTTCCCTCCACTATGTGACATCGGCCCAGAAACTTCTGCTGGTGCCGGGATAGTGTTTTTTCTAGATAGGTCTCTCTAACTGGAGTGTGATAACCACAAAGCCCCAGGGAACCAAGACCAGCTTCCTCCAACCTCCCCCAACCCCAACTCCAAGCCCTCTCCATGCTGCTTGTGTGAACAGGCAACTATCATCTTCTCTTCTCACCCATTACAGCTATTCTAATATACCGGGAGGGCACAGGCAGCCCAAAGATACCAATTTTTTTTTTTTTTCCAAATGGATGAGTCAGTACAATTTATCGAATGGTTCAGCTTCTCCAAATAATCCTCCATGCCCTGTATCTCTAACAGAAAATCTCTAAACACGTATACTGCATATGCATATATATAGTTATAGCTAAAATATCTAGACAGATCGCTCCTTAGCTAAGGTAATCTGATGTATAGTAGAGTCTGTACTTGCATATATGCCTATATCTATCCCACGATGTATATAGATGTATATGTGCTCCATTATATTGCACTGATCACGTAGCTCATTGGCGCTGGCAGCACTGTATTGCTCTGTAGCATGGTGATGTCTAAAGTAAAAGAAGGCTCTCTCACCCATGTGGTTAAAGGTATCTGTGCTGAACAAACACAGATCGTACATCACAGAAAGAAAGTGAACCCCAGATGCTTGCAGAAGGGACTTGTAAACCTTTGTATCTCCCTCTCCTGCTCCCACCAGTTGCTCAGTGACCCCTGCCCCCCAAGGGCCGAACCCACAGCCCTGGCTCTGGAGCCCTTCCTGGTCAACACCTGGTCCTGGCCTCTCGCCTGGCAGCGTCCTTCAGCTTGGCTCAGCTGTGGTCCCACTGGGAAGAGTGAACCTACTTCCCAGGAGGCACACAGGCCCCTGTCCCACTTCCCCACACTGTCTGATCCTGCGAATCAGCCTGCCCACGCTGACGCCCAGAAGAGGCCTATCCCGGCAGGCACTCAAGCAGTTCTCGTGAAGCTGCATTACCGACTGAAATGAGTCTTGTTTTTTAATTTGATTTTTCTTCCCCTATAACAAGCAAAGTTCACATTACAGATAAATTGCCCGGAAATTCCAATTTAATAAGGCATATGCATTTTTCAGGCCTCCAAGCATGGAAAACATCTTGCACGCTGGTATTTTTATACCAAAAGGTTTATTAAAAAGACAGCTTTGGAAATGCCAAAAATTTACATAGAGCGCCTGACCAGTTGTTCAAAAGGGCTGATTTGACAAAAAGGCCCATCAGCCAGGAGGTGGAAGAGCAGGCTTGCTGGTGGTCACGAGCTGTTCTTCCCTCCGGAGTAGAAAGCTCCTGGGTCGGGAAGGATCTCCTTCATTGGAGGTCTTCCACCCACTCTTGGTTTGGATTACGTGAGTGCACGGTAGCCCAGAGCTGGGCACATCCATGAGTGCATGGAGAGCCTTGTCCTTCTCCGTCCAGGGCCTTGCTTCTTAGTGGAAGCATGAACTGGCGTCAGGGATATCTGGGTGCAAACTCACCTCCCAAAAGTCCCCAGTGGAAGGGGTGCCAAATAAGATAAGCTAATAGAGGGAAACAAAGGGTCCTGTGAAAACACAATCAAATAGCACAGCCATGGCTAGCTGCTTATTTTTCAAGGAATGAAAATAGTGAAATGCTGGCAGGAAGTCTGCAAGTCTCTGCTCTTGCTGGGAAAATGACGTGCGCCAGCTGGATGCACTGGGCGCTGTCTCAGGAGACAGCTCCCCACTTAGTGTCTGTGAGCTGCTCGCCGACTGTGACTACTCCATATTCAAGGGCAGGAGCCAACATGTTCACCACATGCGAAACCGCAGCAGCCCAAGACTAAAACCTCGACGAGAGCATTATTTCTTTGCCAACGTAAAAAGCTAGATTATGTCATTCTGTTTTCATTTATATTTTAAACCCTGAGTTGAGTAATTAGGGGGAAAAAATTATGGTCCATTTCAACTTCTCATTATTTGAAATATGTTGAACCACCACAAATCATTCCTGGACAAACAGTGAATTTGCCACCAGATGAGAGGAGAAACAAGTGCTGCCTTTCCTTGTGTTTTCTGTTTCCGTGACTGTCCTGACTGAAAGAGAAGAGATGAGTCGACTTTCGTGGGCCAGAGGCTCAGCTGGGCCACAGACTGGAGCCGGGAAAGTCAACCGCCTAGAACCCAGCACAGCTGGGTTCACTTCCAGCTCCACCCCTTCCGGCTGTGCTGCATCTGACAAGTTGCTAAGCCTCTCTGAATCGTGTTTATTGCTCTTTTAAACCAAGGATGACAACAGCCTCATCAGTTTGTTGGGAGTCACCAAAGCCAGTGTTCAGAACATAGTAGACACAAGAAGCATTCTATAGTTACAGCCAACCTCAACCTCCTCCCGACACCAGGAGGCTTGGGGTGTGGTGAAGGCATGTTATGCTCAAACAGGCATTTTAATCTATGCCTGTGCCCAAAGGACCTCAAGGGGGTGGGATTAGTTTTTCCTGGGGACCTCATATGGTTGACCGACAGAAAACACTTCAACCAGGCCTTAGGGGACAGCAGGACTTTGCCAGGCAGAAGAGGGAATTACCACCAAAATGAAAGTCAGGTATTTTTTAAGTTGTTCATTCTCGTGAGCAACACATTTCTTCTGTGTTGAAGAAATATGGGAAAGAAATTGAGGTGGCACCGGGTGTGGGAAAACCCATGTTAGCTTCGCTCATTCTCTCCATCTGTTCCCCAGCACTGTTTTACTCCAGAATGTTCTTCATTCCAGGGCTCACTGAGTCTGTATTTCAGAAACACTCCAGGGGATAATGTGGATCATGTAAAACAAGGGTCAGTGGACTGGACCAGCGGGCACAGTTTACTCACCCACTCAGTGACCATCCGCTGAGCGATGTGCGTGCTAAAAGCATAGCCCGTGACAGCCGCCCTTGCTCTCGAGGAGCTGGCCCTCTGGGGACTGTCTCTATTCTCCTCCTCATGTTCATTCACATGTTCTCTCTTCCGGGTTTGTCCATCTGCTCATCCTCTGATGGCAGCTCACCCGTCCTTCTCAGCGCAGACACGGCATCCTCGGAGAGGCCCCTGGGATTCCCTCCATCAGAGGCACTGACTTCTTCCCCCCATGCATCCTTCCTGGCATGCAGACAAGGTGTGCATCCAGGGCATTGGAAAAGCAACAACAGACAAGGACTCAGGAGCCTGGCTCTGTGAGGACTGGGCCGAGAAGCGCTCCCTCCTCGCAGCTGGTCTTGAGCAGCAAGGACGCGGTGAAAGCAGTGATGGAGCAGGCCCAGAGCTGGTGGTCAGCCAGGCTCTGCATGAACAGCCGTAGGGGAATGATGCTTTTGGATTTGCAGTAAGAGTGTCTGCACCTAGCTTGGGAGCCTCTCTTGACTCTATTTTGAATGTGATCTGATATGGATGGACGTTCTTTTCCAGGTATTCTGTCTACAAGGACCCAGCAGGCTGGTTGAACATCAACCCCATCAATGGCACCGTGGACACCACTGCGGTGCTGGACCGGGAGTCCCCATTTGTCCACAACAGCGTGTACACGGCCCTCTTCCTGGCAATCGACAGTGGTGAGTCATTTTGAAAATGCCACCAAATGTGTACTTTTTGGTTATAAATATATTTTTGCATTTCTTCTGATATACCCAGGGGTGTTCTTGAGAAGAACATAAGCATGGGGGTGTGGGCAGGGGAAACAAATGCTTAAACACACACAATAAGTTGGTAACACCCCAAGTTCTGGAAGTTGTGGGAGCTGGTGAGATGAGTCATGTCCATTTGGAGTTCAGAGGAGGGAGCTCACCGTGCTCCATCTGGACAGGCCCTGAGGCTAGAAAACCACGTTGGTGGCCTCCTCTTGGTGTGCACCTCCCATGTGCAGAAAGGGGCCTTCTACTTAATGCAAGATGATAAAAAGTCCCAGAAGACGTTGCCCAGTCTGATCACTGCAACATTCTCACGGCTTTTCTCCTCTGTTGACATGTCGGCCCAGGGAGACATGGGCGCACTCTGGTAGTAGCCTCCCCAACCGCAGACTCTCACTGTTCATTCAAAGGCTCCTCCACATACTGCACTCGGTTCTTGAAGCTGGAGACACAGCTGTGAACAAACAAAAGCCATGCGCCTGACACACTCATGGAGAAAGGAAGAAAATAGAGTAAAATGCATCGCATGCTATATGGGGGAGATAAGGAACATGGGGTTCTCTGATGGCACAGCAGGGTGCTGGGGCAGAGGGCTACCAGATGGGGTGGGATGCAGATGGTGTAGGCTGGGGCAGGTCAGGTGGGCCCTGGCTTTGTGGGAAATAGGAGGCTGTCTCTGAGTCCCAAGTAGTCTGGTGTGCCACGGTCACTCTGCAGCTCTGCTGAGGTCGGTCTAGGGGAGACAAGGGCAGCAGTGGGGATACCTCTCAGGAGTCTGAGGACCATCAAGCCTGGATGGTGGCACCATTACAGGGCAGAGGATGAGATCAGATCAGATTCTGAAGATTTTCTATACATTTCAAACACAGAACCAACAGGATTGAACTCTGGCCAAAACAGGGTGATCAGAGTCAGTCTGGGGGGTATGTTAAGCTGAGGAATCTGTTGTGTCAATCACACAGAAGTTTTGCTCACTCTATTATTCCTCAAAGTCAGTTGTTCATAAGGGAAGATTCAATTGTGAGTCTTATATGTCAAGATGAATATTTATAGGGATTTTTTATGGACCTTTCATTGCACTCAGTAAATAGAGGTAAAGGAAGATCCTTGGAGCCAGCCTCTGAGTCCTGGGTTATCGCATACAAACCAAGCAGGAGAGCAAATGTCCAAAAAGTAAGTGACCCATGTGGCATATGACAAGCAGAGAAGGCTTCATGATGTGGTCAGCCTTTACCTTGAAAACAGGTAGGATTTGGATTAGAGGCAGGGTCAGGAGTAGAGGTGCTGAGACTATAAGACAGAGACATCAGAACTAGAAGAGGTTGTGGCCCAGGAGGCAAGAAAAGGAAAGAGCTGCATCCCCTGTAAGTGAATATGCGGAGATCTATTTGGATATACGTGGGAAAGTCCTCCATTCAGAGCATGTGCAAATCCAGATGAGTCATTTGATGGAGCAGGCAAGTTTGAAGTTCTTGAAGGAAATTGGCATGATGAGACAGTGTGTAGACTTTTCAGAACTGGAACAGCCCCTGTACTTGGTGCCACAGACTCATGGGTAAGCGATGGGTGGCCCTCAGACTCAGTGAGCTAAAGAGTTATTTGAGACAAGTAAACAGGGGGGCCCAATTGAATGGACTGTTCTGAAGGAGCTAAACCCAAAGGACTTTCTGGTCCAGCCTCAGGGGGCAGTCACGGGAGCTTCTTGATTGAGCTGACCTCTCAGCAAATAATGAGGGACAAGAAAAGATTAGGTGTCCTAAGAGATGCTTGAAAGAAATAGAGACATGGGAGAGGGAAGCGTCAGTCAGCATTGCTGGAGGCCAGCTTGGTGGACGCAAAGATGAGAGCAAGGAGTGGCAGCCCTCCCGACTGTTCTGAGACTGGAAGGGGATCTTGTGCAAATGCCTAGCTCCTCACTGGAGCAGATGCTCACACAGTGTGGAGCTGATCATGAAGTAGGTCATAAAATGTGGTATGCAGTGCACTTGACTTGATTATGTTGCTTCCATGCCTCCAGAATAAGTTGGTGCTTGAGAAATATAACTCGTATGGCAGTGTAGAAAATGGATCACAAGATCACAAGCTGTGAGGCAGGAGGTATTGGAAAGTGGTTGCAGAGACTATAGTAACAGAAGGCTGAGCCTAATGTGGGCCAGGCCAGGAAGTAGGTTGAAAACAGGTGTCTAATTGACTGTTAGCAATAGGAATGGGACCAGAAAGGATGGATCTAGAAAACATCTGAATCAAAGAAACAAGGCGCAGAGTGGGGGATGAGATTGGTTTGCTGTGTTCTCGTATTTTATTGATTTTCCAGTCGTGTACATAATTATAAAATTTGGAGAGAACACCTTCACCCCTCCATGTGTGCATGTGCTCTACTCACCCTCCACCAAAACTCCAGTGCCTTTGCCCTTTCTCCTTCATCCCCTTCCCCCGCCCTCCCCCCATCCCACCTGGGAATCACTACATTTTTCACAGTCTATAAATTTTTCTTGCTGTGTTTTACCAGGATGTTCTCTTTGGCTATTTCTATTCCACAGATAAGTGAAACCATCCCGTCTCTGTCTTTCACTTTTTGACTTAATTCACTTAGCTTCATCACCTCAAGGTCCACCCACTTAGCTCCAAAAGGCACTGTTTTATCTTTCATAACTGCTAAATAGTGTTCCATTGAGTGCATATCCCACACTTTCCTTGTCAGGTAGATATTTAGGGGGTTCCGTGACTCGGCTACAGTGAGTAATGCTGCTGTGAACACAGGCACATATAAATCTTTTCAATGATGTTCCACGCCGTTCTCCTTAGAGGCTGCATCAGGTTTCTCAACAATAGGTGATGGTTGCTTTTCTCCACATGCTCGCTAACATTTGTCGAGACCAGACTTTGAAACAAAACATGTACTGAACATAAAGTAGAGAAAGATGACATGACACTTTCCAGTTCAGAAAACAGGAATGATTATCCCATCAGCTGAAATGAAACAGAATTCAAAGAATTGTCCCCAACCAACTTTTATGAATGGATGACGAGATGATCTTCCATGAGAAGCTAACAACACAGGATGGGGCAGGTTTTTCCTGGGGAGTCAGTAGGCAAAACAGTCAGGGACCATCAGAACAGACAGGTTTTGCTGAAGAAATAGGGCAGAAAGGAGTGTCCAGGGCATAAACACCAGATGACAGTAAGCCAGGAATGTTTAAAACACTACAAATGAAAAGTATCAGTGATAGATCTGCTGCAGTAAATTTCTCTAAGTTCTGTACTACCTAAAGTACCTGTAGTTGTAGAGAAAATCCTAACTAGGAACACCAGAGAGGAGTGTTGAGATCCAGCCAATATTATACCTGCCATTGCCTCATGGAATACTTCATGCAATTATTAATCAACAAAAAGAAAATAGAATTGAAGTACACTCCAATCTTTGTCAGAAATAAGCGCCTGCTCTGCAGGTGTAACTGGGCATGCAGCTTATAGACTCTGAGGTACAGTTTCTACTTCTATAAAATGAGAAGGATAAATCCTACTTATAAGGTTGTCATGAGAAATGAGTAAGTGAAGTGCGGTGCCCTCCAGACTCCCCATCAAAAGCCCTATTAAGTGTTCAATAAATGTTAATCCTACTCCAATGGGGGTTATAGAAAGGAAAAACTGGTCTTCAAGAAAAATACAGCTTGAAAACTGCCTCTTGTCTAACTCTGTTAATACTAATATCAGACAAGGAAATTCAAAATCTGTTGTCACAGATGTTTCCAGAAGTATGGAAGTGTCCCTGAAGAGGTAATGGTAACTAGAAAACAGGTTGGCATTAATATACAGAATCATCATCAGTGATGATAATCTTGAACAAGGCCCAAAAGACTTTGAGCAAAAAGAGCATAAATTTTAAAAAGAACTTGTAAATCAAAGTAAGTTTTGTTTGAAGTCCCTTTTTCTCCCTCACTGAAAACATCTCTAGGTAGTATGTCTAATCAGGAAAAACCAACACTTACTTGTTAGATCAAAGTTAGTATACTAACTGATGTCTATCCCAAACAGGCTTGTGATTTTATTAATTTTGTAGAAAATCATATCTTTGATGGCATAAAAGTTTAGTCACACAACAGTATGAGAGCTAAAGCAAAATAAATTGCTTTCTCCAAACAATGAGTTGCTCAGGAATTTATGCCAAAACGTCGATAAGATATATGGCTGTAGAAACTTCCAGGTAATAGACCAATGTCCCCACTAGAAAAATCTGGATGGATTACAAAAAAAATCTATGTGTAAAGACATAAGACAGCTTTGAGGCCCAAAATCAAAAGCAATGAGACCCAAATCAAGTAAAGCCTAAAAAGGGAAAAAGATTCTAGAAAAAGTGTAGGTCAGTCGGCGTGTCTTCCTCCACAACTGTTTTTTGATCTGGGTGAAGGTCAGACCCAGGCAGAGGATCTATGATGGAAGTAAAGAAATCAGAAACTCTGTGCCAGCCCTGTGGATCTGGGATGACAAAGTGAAAATCTGAAGGGCCTTTAACACCCGGTCCCCACCTCACCCACCTACCCCCAACCCCCGAAGTGCCTCTGAAAGGATAGCTAGTCTCCTGGGGGCTCACATGAATGATGGGATTGCTAACAAAGGGACCAACCTCACCTTACCAACACAACCATTCTCTCTTTAAGGCATTTACCAGTTTTCCAAGGAACAAGAGATTGGAGGATGGGGTGACTGATACTATAGACAGAATGTGTGTAGTCTCCTAAATTCAAATCTTGAATCCTAATCCCCAGTGCAGTGGGTTAGGAGGTGGGACCCTTGGGAGGTGATTAGGTCATAAGGAAGGAGCTTTCATGAGTGGGATTAGTGCCCTTATGAGAGAGACCTGGAGGTCTCCCTCGCCCCTTCTTCCATGTGAGGACACAGGAAGGCAGCGACCATGAACCAGGAAG